GCTGCTGACGACGATGATGCTGATGATGATGCTGATGATGGTGATGATGCAGCTGCTGCTGCTGCTGCTGATCATGACCATGATGATGACGATGACGATTACGACGACGACGACGACTACGACGACAAAGATGACGATGATGATGGTGATGATGATGATGGTACTGATGATGATGATGATGATGATGATGATGATGATGATGATGGTGGTGGTGATGATGATTATTGAATCGCTTCGCTCATTCCGCCGGCCCGTGATATGGCATCGCTGGTTTTTGTCTGTGTGTTCGTTGCCCATGTTGCACTCTTGGGGTCTGTTGAGAGGCCGTTCGGGGGCGCCTGGGAGACATGTTTGAAGCCTTCTGGGGCTTCTTTTGGGCCTCCTGGGAGTCTCCTGGGGCCTCTTGGCGACATCTTGGGGCCTCTTGGAGGCCTCTTGGGGCCTCTTTGGGACCTCCTGGGCGCCTTCTGGGACGGAGGGCTCCATTTTTGAGTTCTCGGTATCCCTCCTGAGTCCCTCTTGGGCCCGTCTTGGGGCCTCTTGGTCCGTCTTGGGCGGCACTTGGGCCGTCTTGAGGGCTCTCTTGGGTCGTTTCGGCGCCGTCTTGGGAGCTTCGTGGGCCGTCTTGGAGCGGTCTTGGGGGCCTCTTGGGCCGTCTTGGAGCGTCCGGAAGCCGAAAAAGCCAGAACACAAAAAACATTGAAAAAACCAATGAAAATCAACGATTTTGGCCTCTTGGGGCTCTCTTCGGAGGCCTCTTGGAAGGCTCTTGGGGCGTCTTGGAGGCCTCTTGGGCTGTCTTGGGGGCCTTTTAGGCCGTCTTGGGGTCATCTTCGGCGTCTTCGAGCGCTCTTTGGGCGTCTCGGGGGCCTCTTGGGCAGTCTTGGGGGCCTCTTGGGGCACTCTGAGCGCGCTCTGGGGAGCCTGAGAGGCCGCACCCAGAAGGAAAACCATCTCTGAGTAGACTTGGTCGGGCGTTGGTCGGGGTACTTTTCGCCGGGGGACCCCCAGGGGCCGCCTCGCGCGCGCGAACTAGAAATACTGTTAATACTGTTAACCAGTTACCGGAGATCTTAGCACGCCCTGGCCCGTTGGGCCGGCGAATTATTATGGTGCTGGTGATCATGATCATGATGGTGATGTTGATGCCGATGCTCATGGGGAGGATGATGAGGGTGATTACGAGGATGATGAGGATTTGGATGATGATGATGATTATGATGGTTGTGGTCATGAGGCTGACGATGATGATTATGAATTTGATGGGGGTGGTATGATGATGATACTAGTGATGATGATGATGATGATGATGATGATGATGATGATGATGATGATGATGGTGATGATGATGATGATGATGGTGGTGATGATGATGATGATGCTCGTGATGATGGTGATGATGATGACGATAATGATGATGTTGACGATGATGATGCTGATAGTTGTGATGATGATGCGAATGATGATGACGCGGATGATGGTGACGATAATGACGATCGTGGTGGTGATGGTGGTGGTGATGAGGGTGATGATGACCACGATTGCGATGACGATTCTGATGATGTCTGTGGTGGTGGCGGTGATGACGATGCCGATGACGATAACGTTGACGATGGCGACGATGACGATGGCGACGATGACGTCGGTGATGAGAGTGATGATGATGATGGTGATGATGATGATGAAGATGAGAGTGATGATGATGATGTTGATGATGATGACGAGGATGATGATAATGATACTGATGGTAATGATGACGATGATGATGATGATGATGACGAGCATGATGATGATGGCGATCATGATGATGATGACGATGATGATGATGATGATGATGGTGGTTATGATGATGATGATGATGCTGATGATGGCGATGATGGTGCTGATGCTAATGACAATGATGATGACGCTGATGATGATGATGATGATGATGATGATGACGATGCTGATGACGACGAGGATGATGATGATGCTGATGCTGCTGCTGATGATGTTGATGCTGATGATGGCGATGATTTTTGACGATTATGATGGTGCTGATGATGATGACGATGACGATGACGATGACGATGATGATGATGACGATGATGATGATGATGATGATGATGACGATGGCGATGATGATGATGATGGTTGTGATGATGATGACAATTATAATGACGATGACGATGATGATGCTGATGATGCTGATGATAATGTTGATGATGATCATGATGCTGACGAAGACTATGTGATGCTAAAGATGATTATGCTGATGATGATGACGACGATGATGACGACGATGATGATGATGATGACGCCGATGATGTTGATGATGATGATGATGGTGGTTATGATGAAGATGATGATGATGATGATGATGATGATGATGATGATGATGATGATGATGATGATGATGATGATGATGATGATGATGATGATGGATGATGATGATGATGATGATGATCATGATGATGCTGATGATGATGATGATGTGATGATGATGATGATGATGGACGAC